TCACCTACTTGATCCCTTGTGTTGGTGGGAGGCTTACTACTCATGTGGGTACAACATGGCTGAAAAGGAGAGGGTGGTGGATGATATGTAGGAGTACATGTAACACCATGATAAGAGCTTAAGAACATAAGAATTGAGAGCAGGATTAAGCCATCTGGCCCGACGAGCCTGCTCCACCATTCAATAAAATCATGGCTGATCTTTTCGTGGAATCAGCCCCAATTACCTGCCCGCTCACCATTACTCTTAGTTCTTTATTTTAATTCCTTTACTTGTCAAAAATGATGTGTGTGTCCATAGAAATGTGATCATTATATGTAATAGGTCAAATTATACACTGTGATTTATGATATCCAATTTAAATAAGGCAAACACTTTATGATAATCCCTGGTATGGGAAGATATTTCCAACCTAATTTTGCATTCTATTATTGATAACTCCCAGCCTCGGCTCCTTCATCAACAATTCACCATCTTTAACATTCCTCTTTGGGTAAGGTTGAAGTGTGGGCGGACTTCTGGCACATTGTGTAGGATCCACGTCTCTGGGTTAGAATTACTGGGACCACAGAGGGTGCATTCCCCACGTCTACCAGTCAGAACAAATTTGCCAACCTGTCAACACTCTCTTCTCATACGGTGTAAAACATTGGTCCACTTCTACAGAATCACAATGGTGCTTGCATCAGCTCTTCTGTGAGTAATACTGCTCACTTGATGAGTCCATTTCATAGAATCTGTACAGTGTGGAAGCAGGCTGTTTGAACCCACACAGACCCTCCAAACAGCATCCCACCCAGACCTGCTGCCCTACCTTATTCCTGTAACCTTGCATTTCCCATGGCCAATCCACCTAACTTGCACATCTTTGGACTGTAGGAGGAAACCCACACAGACGCGGGGAGAATGTGCAAACTGCATACAGACAGGCACCCAAGGCTGGAATCGAACCCAGATTCCTGGCGCTGCGAGGTGGCAGTGCTAGCCCCTGAGCCACTGTGCCACCTATTGCTAACCACATACTTTTTCCCTATACTCCTACACATTATTTCTGTCCAAACAATTATTGAATGCCTTCTTGAATGCTTCAAATGAACCGACTTCCACCACATAGTGGTACAAGATCCACCACTTTCTCAAGGGTAACTAGTGATGGGAAATAAATGCTGACCCAGCCAGCAAAGCCCCCACATCCCATGAAAGATTTTTAAGAAGTGCTTCCAGGCTGTGTATTCCATACCCCAAGTTCTCACTAGGATTTTTTTTCTTGAATCACATTTGCTGCTTTTGCCAATCACTTTAAATCTGGGTCATCATGTTCTTGATCCTTTTGGAAGCAGGAAGAGCTTCACTCTATCTTCTCCATCCAGCCTTCTCATGATTTTGAGAACCTCTATCAGATCTCCTCTTAACCCTCTCTCCAAGGACTATAGTCACAACTTCTTCAGTCTACCCTCATAGCTGAAGTTTCTCATCCCTGGAATTAATCCTGTAAATCTTCAATGCATTCATATCTTCTTATCATCTGGCAGATAGAACTGTGGACAATGCTCCAGGTGAGTCTAACTAATGTTTGATACCGTTATATTGGTTTTCTTATGAAGGTCCTGGTGAGTGAACGATGAAGAGATTTGATAAAGTGTGTCTTTTTCAGCAATGTTGTGATTATTGTCTGTGAGATTTTGACTGCCACACATTTTGATCCATTACAAACTCAGATTCATTGATTGAATGTCTAAGGGACTAGTGTTGGCTCAATTTGACCTCATAGTCAGAGGATTGAGTGTTCAAGATCCTTTCCAGAGACTTGCATATGGAATCTGTGCTGATGCTACAGACCACTGTTGAAGGAATGCAGCATTGTCAGAGATGTTTTCTTTAGAAACCCGGGGTGCGTCTCAGCAAAGATCCTGCAACAATGTTTTGAAAATGAGCAACAGTTTTTCTGTTGCTCTGCCATCATTCATCCCTCAACCAATACCATCAATAAAACCTAAACCTACTATTCATCTTATATCTGCTTGTGGGATCTCTCTGTGTGTAGGTTTCTTGCTGCATTTGCCTGCATTACAGTATTGCCTATTCATTAGTGAATCCCAACACCTAGATGGTGAAGTTTGAAATTTGACACAACTCTGATTCTTGGTAGTTCCTTTATCTATGGAATGCAACATTATCCATGCCTGGTTCTATCTCAGTAACCCAATGGTACAGCAGTCCCTCTTTATGCTCTTCTGGTTAAATCCACTGAACATATAAACTAGCTAACTAACTGACTGTCTCTTAAAGGGGGATTGTGTCAAAAATCACATCTTCAAAGGAAACATAATTGAATTATGTTGGAGGGGGAATGAGGTACTCCAGACTTTCATGAGTCCCCTTTTGCAATATTTTGATAAACTAATCAGGAGCTATTAATCACATTAACTAACTAAGCGCAATTAGCATCCCCTTAGAGGGGCATTGTAACAAAATCAAATGCTCAAATGAAACTTTTAAAGTTTAAATGGAAATTGAGAATGCATTGCCAGAAACAAAAACAGAAATTGCAGGAAGAGCTCTGCGTTCCGAGGAAGGGTCACTGGACCCGAAACATTAACTCTGCTTTCTCTCCACAGATGCTGTCAGACCTGCTGAGCTTTTCCAACAATTTCTGTTTTTGTCGCTGATTTTTAGCATCTGCAGTGATTTTATTTGGTTTTATTTTTATTTAATGCATTCCAGACCCTATGGCCCCCAGTGTGTCACAAAAGGCTTCACGTATGCCAATAGACACAGTGTGCTCCTTCTCCAAGGACAACCAGACGTGGAAATAACTTCAGAGAAGGGGCAGGCAGGCCTCTAACACCTTCCCATAACACCCGCTCCTGGGCTTATTGATGGATGTCTTGGCCAGACCCAGGAGTAGACCATTCCTCCTTTATACTCTTCTAATAGGCAATTAATTAGACCCAATTAAACCAAATTAAGCAAAATTGTAGAATAGACACCCATTAAAGGGGGTACTGTTTAAAAAAAATGGTCAAAGCAAATTTAAAATTAAGCTAAAATGTCATTTTGTGAGGAAGTAGTGCACTCCAGCTCCCAATGTGCCCACTGGTCATGGAAGCCTGAAGAAGGCCAATGGATAATGTGTGCTCCTTCTCCAAGGATAAACAGGCATGGACATAGCTATCAAAGGGAGGTAGGCATCAGGGTAAAACACCCCTCTCCACAGGCCATTCCTAGATTGTCTTGGTTGTGCCCAGCAGCAGATCAGTCCCTCTTTATTTGTGATTAAGGTATTTCAACAAGCAATGCCCTCCTCTTGCTTATGCTTTATCTTAGCAGGACATTTTATCATTATGTTAACAATTACGTTGCAGATTTTGGTCACTGATTGTGAAGAGTTTAAGGATGCCTGAGGGGCTATTCAAATGCAAGTCCTATTCTCATAGTGCATCATTTACTGAGAATAGGTCATAGGCAGGGTTTTTAGACACATTTACAGATGAATCCTGTTTCAAAATAATTTTCCTCAGCCATCCCTTTAGAACGTTAGGCACTCGCACAGCCTGCTTAAATCAATTTGATTAGGGATCGTCTAGAGGAATGAAACGATGTTCGTCTGGCAGGAAATGATGGGACTAAATTTCATTAACATGCCGGGTAAGTTGGTCTGTGTCTTCTTTCGAGAGGAGGCACACAGAAGGTGCGTTTGTTGAGTCGCAGAAATCAATCATTTCCCACAAAGCTCTTTTTGACCAAAGACACAGATTCAGAGAGATGATGACATATTTCAACCATTTTAGACATTGTCTTCGTATTTCTTGTCCTCTCACTGCGTTCTGTAACTGGATCTGTTGTAGGTAGATGCAGAGGTTGGGGTGGTTGGAAAGTAAATTGCTTCTGCTCCTTATAACATGCACAGAGATACTGCCTAGTGAAAACAGACTGGAATACTTGGGACTCGTGATTAAACTAGCACCTATAACTTGCAGAGAATCCACTCTCACCAGCTTACAGTGAATGGAGGGGAAATATAAACCGTTGTCCCTTGATTAGCAAACCGACAGGAGGTTGCTGCAAACTGTGCTGAGACTGAAATCTCAAATTCAGTCTTTCAGTCATGCAAGAAAGCTCGTGAAGATTGACTGTGCACTAAAAGACTGCTTGGAGAATTACATGTGGGATCTTGCTGTGTGTAAATTGCCATTTTTGCCTATGTCACAACAGACCCTGTGCTTCATGCTAACCCACTGTACGTGAGGTATTTAAAACAGCACTAGGAAAATTCAATTTTTGACTTGGACAAGGAATCTCAAGCTTAGCTTGACGGTGAAGCCAGCTGTTCGAGTGTTGTTCAACATATCCATGGGGAATACTTGATATATCAGAGCTTTTATCTACAATGCCCCCTCCGGTACAAGGGACCCAGCAGAGGACGTCCTCTGTAACCAAACTTGAGTTGGCAGGAAGGAAGATCAGTGGTAAGTTTGTCACTTATGTTATTAGCAATAATGAACAACTTTGCATTTACATAGTGGCTTTCATTATCTTGGGACTTGGCAAAGAACTTTACAGCCAAGTCATTAACACTGACACACACAGCCACTTTTGTAAGATGGGTAAACATTCTGGCCAATTTACCCACAACAGGGTTCCAAATGAGATAGATGCTCAGGGAATGTGTATGTTGGTGAAAGGGGTAAGTGGTAGCCAGGATACTAGGGAGAACTCCCTTGCTGTTCTCTTAAGTCATGCTGTGAGATCTTTTGATGTCACCCTGAGAGAGCAGATGGGGTCTTGGTTTTAATATCTCATTTTACAGATGGCGCCACCAACAGTGCAGCTCTGCGTGGGGGGTAGACTTTGTGATCAAGCGTCTAGGGTGGGATTTGTACCCTCGATGTTTTGACTTAGAGGCGAAAGTGCACCCCATTACATCAAAGTAGTTCATGGTCCTCTGTCAAAGTAACTCCCTGAATACATTCAGAACTTTTTAAAAATATATATTTCAGAGGCCGGATTCAACTCTTACTGCCGTGGATCCCCGCCAATTGCCTAGCCTGGATTTAAAATCGTTGGCCAGCCCCCAACAACAAGCCACAAATGTGGCATTTCCTGCGGTCAACCTGGAAATATCTTCCAGACCACACCCACCAAATAGGGAAGAGTGGAGCCTGTTACCAACCCAGGATGGAACTGCAGTACTACCAGCAACTCATTGTGAAAAGGTACGCCAGAAATATTTAAATTGCTTCAAAACAGATGAGAATGTTGCTCTTTCAGAGAGCGTAGCAGGGAAAAGAACAGATAACAACCAATTTACAACAGTCGGCTCAGCTTGTAACATGATTCATTTATATTTGCTGGAGGTGACGTGCACAAGGACCTGTTCTCTGCAAACAAAAGGAATATGTCAATTCTTGCACCTTTTTTTTGGAGTGTGGGGATCCTATAGTTCCCCTTTGCTTTAGCCTCAGCCGACCAGAGTTGATTTGTCAACTAAATAAATTATTTATTCCAATTATGTAACTTATGATACTCATTTGAAATTTGGCGTTCTTGTATTTGTCCTGATGAGTGCAAGATGAAAAACATTGGCAACATCTGATCTGCCTCCTTACTTGAATATGGATGTTATATTTGCCATTTTCCAATTTGCTGGAACCTTTCAAGAATTTAGGGAATCCGGAACCTAGTGTATCTACCGTCCCATTCATAGAATCCCAATGGTATGGAAGCAGGCCATTCGGCCCATCAGGCCCACACCAACCCTCTGAAGAATGTCCCGCCCAGACCCATTCCCCTCTTCTGTCCCCTGAAACCCTGCATTTCCCATGGCCAATCCACCTAACCTGCATATCTTTGGAGTGTGGGAGGAAACCAGAGCACCCAGAGGAGCCACACAGATACAGGGGGAACGTGCAAACTCGACACAGACAATCACCCAAGGGTGGAATCAAACTTGGATCTCTGGTGCTGTGAGGCAGCAGTGCTAACCACTGAGCCACTGTGCTGCTTATTTGCTGATCCTTACATCTCACTAGTTTTCCATATAGTTGCTGTGTGTACACACTCAGATATATGTATCATGTGTATGCATGTATATGTGTATATATGGTATATATAGATATGTTTATATGTGTAGATGCATATATGTGTGTGAATGCATATTAAAAATGCTTGCATGTATGTGTAAGTATATATTCATGTATATATATGTTTATAAGTCCACATTGTCACCTACAGCCTTTGTGGGAGAATCTTAGTCATGGGCAGGTCTGATATACCAAACAGTGGCTTGTAAATAAGCAAGACCTTCCTAAAATCTTCATCCAAGAAGAAATAGATACAAAGCGGTAGACATTGTCTACATAGACTTCAGCAAAGTGTTCGACAAGGTTCTGCATGACAGACTGGTTAGTAAGGTTTGATCACATGGGATCTGGGGGGAGCTAGCCAATTGGATACAGAATTGGCTTGAAGGTAGGAGACAGAGGGTGGTGGTAGAGGATTGCTTTTCAGACCGGAGACCTGTGACCGACAGTGTTCCACAAGGAACGGTGCTGGGTCCACTGCTTTTAGTCATTTATATAAATGATCTGGATGTGAATGTTGGGGGTATAGTTAGTAAGTTTACAGATAACACCAAAATAGGTGGTATAGCAGACAGTGAAGAACCTTACCTCAGGGTACAACAGGATTCTGATCAGATGGGCCAATGGGCTGAGGAGACCGATGGAGTTAATTTAGATAAAAATCAGGTGTTGCATTTTGGTGGGGCTGCACTTATACCATTAATGGTAGGGCCTCAAGGAGTGTTGCCAAACAAAGAGTGGTACAGGTGCATAATTCCTTGAAACGCAGGTAGACAAGGTGGTGAAGAAGGCGTTTAGCATGCATGCCTTCATTGGTCTGAACATTGAGTATAGGAGGTCATGTTCTGGCTGTGCAGGACATTGGTGAAGCCACTTTTGGAATACTGCTTACAATTCTGGTCGCCCTTTTATAGGAAAGGTGTTGTTAAACTTGAGAGAATGCAGAAAAGATTTACAAGGATGTTGCTGGGAATGGAGTGTTTGAGTTATAGGGAGAGGCTGAATAGGCTGGGACTATTTTCCCTGGAGCATTGGAGGTTGGGGGATGTGGGGTGGTGGTGACATTATAGAAGTTTATAAAATCAAAAGGGACATTGATAGGGTCAATAGCCAAGATCTTTTTCTAGGGTGGGGGAGTCCAAAACTAGAGGGTGTGGATTTATGGTGAGAGGGAAAAGATTTAAAAAGGACCTGAGGGGTAACTTTTTCATGCAGAGGGTGGTGCATGTATGGAATGAGCTACCAGAGGAAATGGTGGAAGCTGGTACAATTACAACATTTAAAAGGCATCTGGATGGGTATACAAATAGGAAGGATTTAGAGGGATATGGGCCAAATGCTGGCAAATGGGACTAGGTCAGATTGGGATGTCTGGTTGGTATGGACAAGTTGGACAGAAGGGTCTGTTTCCGTGCTGTATGACTGTATAACTCTATAGTTAGATATGTGTCTATATTAACGTATGGTATGTAAACGTACATGTATGTGTGTTTAATGCAGGTGTATATGTATATAATTGCAGATGCCCGTTATAGTTTATATAGTTACACTTTAGGAACGTCCTTCAACCTAGGAGGTCATCATGGCACAACACAAGCTTCCAACCTATAGCTCAGATTGCACAATAGTTGACCCACCCAGCTTGTCCTTAGAAGTGTAGTTGCTGTTGTAATGTGGGAAACGTGGCAGCCAGTTTGTGCACAGCAAGATTCCACAGACAGAGATATAATAATGACACAGACAGAGATGTGATAATGACCCAGGCAATGTTTTAGTCAGTGGTGATGATTGCAGGCCTGGACTCTAAGGCCTTGATCTTCAAAATGGCGCTATGGGTTCTTTTTATTGACTGGAGCAAGCAGACAGAGCCTCGTTTAACATTGGACTCAAAAGCAAATACCTCAGTCAGTGCCTCTTGTGGTACTGTGTTAGCATACCAACCTCTGGGCCAGAGGGCCTGAGTTCAAGTCTTACCCTATTTCAGATGTGTGGTTTGGCATTTCTGAACAGTTTGATTAAAAGTATCTAAATGGGTAAACTGCTGCATTAAAGTAATAACAGATGGATGAAGGACACTCAGGAGTATTGTTGATTAATGTTGGCACTGTAACCTCTCCATTGCAGTTTATTAATTTGTACCTTGAGCTTTGAGACATCTGTCACTGGCAAGCAAGCTGCCCCTGTGGTGTGCCACCTTGTGGCAATTTGCGGGAAGAAATGAGCTCGGAGTTGAAATAGATTGTGGGACTCCATAGAATCCCTACATTTGGCCCCTTGAGTCTACACCAGCCCTCCAAAGAGCATCCCACCCAGACCCAACCCCCTACTCTATCCCTGTAACCCTGCATTTGCCATGGCTGACCCACCTACCCTGTCTATCCCTAGGCACTATGGGGCAATTTAGCATTGCCAGTCCACCTAACCTGCATATCTTTGGACAGTGGGAGGAGCATCTGGAGGAAACCCACACAGACACGGGGAAAATATGTAAACTCACGCAGACAGCCACCCGAGGGTGGAATCAAACCCTGGTCCCTGGTGCAGTGCTAACCGCTGAGCCACTGTACCACCCATGGGTATGAGTTCCTGTTCCATGGCTCCAATCTACTCTGAGTATGTAAAATTTATCTCTCCATAAGTAGCTAGTGCCTCTTGCTCTTCTCTGATTTGTCCTCCATCGGATGGTTGTTGAGAGGTGCCCTCACAAAAACGCATTTTGAAGCTTCCAGAGTGACAGAAACATAGATTGGGAGTTTGGGCTTGTGCTGGTTCACCACTTGGTCTTAACTTGTGGGGCTAGGCTTCCTGAGAGTGTCAAAGACAAGAATTGAGATGTCTGAGGATAAAGGATTCTCATTGAAGAGATTTGTTTGTGGCTTCTGTCTTATCTCGTCTGCTGCTGACATCTTATCCATTCCTTTGTTACTTTCAAACTCTGCTGTTTTGTTTCAATCCTCCCACAATACATCTCCATTACATTGAACTCATCCAAAACTCCCATCAAGTCCATGACGTCGTTGATACTAACATCCTTGTTTTCAGATCTTGCCAAGATTCACTCCTCCCTATCTCTCCTCCATCACCATTAGGTTCTAAAATATCTCTATTTGTCTAATTCCAACCTTTTGCATGTTCTTGATTTCTATCACATCACCGTTGGTGACCATGCCTTCAGCTGCCTGGATCCTAAGCTCTGGAATTCCCTCCTTAAGCCCTTGATTTCACTATCTTTGTTTCCTCCTTTAATATGCTCCTTAGAACTTGGCATTTTGTCAGAACTGTCCTTAACATCTCTTTCTGTAGTTTCGATTCAAATTTTGGTTGATAGTACTCTGAAGTGCCTTGTGATGTTACATTATATTTAAAGATGCCATGTAAATGCGAGGTGTCACTTGTGAAATTCTTTGCAATGACAGGGGAGGACTGCTAGTTTTAAATTAGTTCTTGTGAGTAGAGGGTGTGACCCTCACTGAGGTAGACACCCAAAAAAACTGGGCACGTAAAAATCAATATCAGCCTGATTTTAAAATTCTTTTTGTTGCTAAGAGACCAACAGAGGCCCTTTTCATTTTTATCTTTTTGTTTTATTGACATAGCTGCCTGTAGGCAATAGCTATAGTTATGAGGTTTTTTTTTTCCCTCTCTCTCACCAACTCTTGATCTTTTGTTATTTGAGTTACAATGCAAAAAAAAAACAAGGGGTATAAAATAGCCTCAGGTGCATCACGCCCCTTGTATTCTACTGCACAACACATCAGTAAATGAAAGCAAAATAATTGAACAGTGTCTGAACTGCTGAGGGGAGAAAGAAAAATGCATTTTGACGAACTGTATGCTTCAGTGGATGTTGATGCCACTCAAAGCTTTGTCTCAAAATAATTGTGCTGCTATAAAGTCAAAATGGGAGCTGTCTGGAGTGCTGATTGTTGCGAAGCCGTCAACATCCCATTGATCAGTTTCATCCCATCTGACTGCTCTTTTGTAGCAACCGTTTTCAGAAATGATTGCAAGTAAGCGTTTAATAAAAATAAAATGTCTTGCTTCACAAAACGTGATATTTGTGTCACAGATGCTGAAGATATCAGTAAGCCTCCAGAACTCTAATTAGCTACTCTGCCTAAAGTGGGTGTTGA